CACAATCTGTATTGTTAAAAGCGCTATATAAATAAAGGTGACTTGACTTGACTTGACTGCTGTCAATGGTTGTCAACTACCCAGCACTGAGAAAATAGTGTGACTGACATGACAACAGGATAGAGCAGGTATTTTGAGTTACGAACACACACACACACACACTGGTATTGGTGGTTTATGGGGACTCTCCATAGGCGTAATGGTTTTTATACTGTACAAACTGTATTTTCTATCGCCCTACACCAACCCTACACCTAAACCTACCCCTCACAGGAAACTTTGTGCATTTTTAGATTTTCAAAAAAACACCATTTAGTCTGTTTTTAAAGCCTTTTGAATTACGGGGACACAGGTAGTGTCCTCATAAACTACCTTCATATTGTAATACCTGTGTCATACCCATGTCATTATACAAATTTGTGTCCTCATAAACCACCCAAACCAGTGCACACACACACACACACACCCTGTACACCACAGCTCCATGACTGGCATGTCACTGTATGTTCCAGCCTCTGGATCCCTGTTTACGTCATACTTTACCACATAAACCAAACATATACTATAATATTAAACAATACAATATCTGCTTTATACTCCCGTTCTCTGTCAAGCTTATTGTTCATACTCATAAATTTCCTCCAAAAGGATCTGTTTTTGTTTTGCAAAAGGAATTAGCATTATAAATGCATTTATAGCATATAAATGTTCTAGGGATTGACATTAGTGCATTCCCTTGTGAAAAAGAATGTTAACGTTAACATACTTTTAAAAAGAGTACTTATTATGGAAATAATGTACTTTAAAAGAATATATGTAGGTGCAAACTGAATGTAATGTTTTTGAACACTTATGTTACTTGCAATTAAATGACAATGTATTATAGTTTAAATTGATATTAAATGTACAGTAATTAGTTGACCTTAGGAGGGATTTTTTTGACCCACTAAACTATGACTGAAGTACATTATTAAATGTAATTTCATAATTACTTGTATTTATATCTTTGAAATATGCCGAATGTACTGACAAGTATTTATGGTAAACGTCTCGGTTATGTATGTAACCCTTGTTCCCTAAAGGGGTGAACGGAGACGTTATGTTGACACTGATGTTTGGGTTTCCCTTGGGAGTGGAATTTGCATGCCCAGCCACTCCTCCATGCCCACGGGTATATAAGAAGGCAGCTTGCATTCACTCATTCAGGTTTGTGCTGAGGAACCGAGACTGCATCCCGGCATCACAATGAGGAGGGCCGTTGCCGCTGTTCCTATTTCCAACAGGAAAGAGAGCTTCCGCTCTTTGGGAATAATTGTTGGTATAGCCGCGGCCAGATGTATTACATTGGGGGAGCGTACCTAGTCCAAGCGGAGAGGGACACTACGGAGGCCACATCCTGCCCGAAGGGAGGTAGCATGTGTAGAGTATATATGGACTGACCGAGAGGGCAGAGTTACATTTGGGGAAGAGACTAACGCAAAAGCTGGACAGATGCAAGGGGAAGACATGGGTTTACCAAGAGTAAAACCATACCGTGGAAGGAGCACACAAGGTATCACTTCAAGGGAATCACTACATGTGGAGCACTGAGCTCAGTACAGCGGCTGACCAACAGGCATGCAACACAGGTACTGAGCCTGACATCAGGCTCCTCCTCCAAGCCCAACAGCCAGAGGTGCAGAAGGAAGCTCAATTCAGGGTTCATAGAGTGAGGAACACGTCTGGCGAGATAGATGGTGCTCGCACCCCAACACACTGGAAGAGACTGGTTAAATGTGGAGATTGTACAAGCTTGCGAAGGTGTAAGGTGTCACCCAGTCCGCAGCTCTGCGGATGTCTGCTATAGAGGCACCATGCACCAATGCCCAAGAGGATGCTACGCTTCAAGTGGAGTGAGCTCAAACTCCTAGTGGGCACGGCTTGCCTTGTGTTTGGTAAGCCAAGGAGATGGTATCCACTAGCCAGTGGGCCAACATCTGCTTGTAGACAGCAATCCCCTTCTGCTGGCCTCCAAAGCAAACAAAGAGCTGTTCAGAGCTTCTGAAGCTCTGTGTATGCAGCACTTGCTAGTTCACCACCTGGTCTCGGAAAGGAGTGGTGGGAACTTTGGGCACGTATCCAGGCCAGGGTCTCAGGACAACAGGACAGTCAGCTGGCCCGAAATCAAGGCACGTTTCACTGACCGAAAATGCCTGCAGGTCCCCCACCCTCATGATCGAAGTGAGTGCAGTCAGAAGCGCTGTCTTCAGAGACAGGAACTTGAGCTCAACTGACTCTAGTAGCTCAAAGGGAGCCCTCTGAATTCCTGTCAGGACCACAGAGAGATCCTAAGAGGGGACAAGGCTTGGCCTAGGAGGATTTAGCCTCCTGGCACCTCTTAGGAACCTGATAACCAGGTCGTGCTTCCCCGCGGACCTGCTGTCCACAGCATCATGATGTGCTGCGATAGCAGCAACACACACTTTCACGGTGAAGGGGTACAGCCTCCGCTCCAACCTTTCTTGCAGAAAGGAAAGCACCACACTGATCGGGCATCTCCGGGTGTCTTCTCTGCGAGAAGCGCACCACTCAGCGAACAGACTCCACTCAGGGCATAAGCTTGCCTAGTAGAGGGGGCTCTGGCCTGAGTGATAGTGGCTATCACTGCCTGTGAAATTGTGCCCTCCTCCTGAGAAAAAAGGACTTCTTCAGGGAAACTCGCCAGGAAGGAGCTGTCGCGAGGAGCATCAGCTCCAAAAGCCAGGTCCAGGTGGGCAAGTAAGGCGCAACCATCAAGACTCCTCATCATGCTCCTCAAGCTCCCTGATGTTGCACAGGGTCTGTGAAAGGAAGCTCACTGGGGGAAATGCATACTTGCATAGAGCCGGGGGCCAACTGTGTGCCAGTGTGTCCATGCCGAGGGTCCCCTCGGTCAGGGAGTAAAAAAGCGGGCAGTGGGAGGACTCGTGGGAGGCAAACAGGCCTACCTGAGCATCCCTGAATCGGCTTCATATCAGCTGGACCACATGGGGATGGAGTCTCCATTCTCCAGGGAATGTGAGCTGCCATGCGAGCATGTCACGTGATTTGATCAACGTCTGACTTCAAAGGAGGAGATGGCGGTAGAGTTGCGACATGCGACGGGAGCGTAGACCTACTTGATGGCTGATGTACGCAATGGTCGCAGTGTTGTCCATACAGATGAGTGCTTGCCCTGAAGCAATGGTCGAAACCAGCGCAGGGCCAGCAGATGTGCCAATGCAGTTGAGGAGCCTGAGGCTGCATGCCCATTGCACACAGTGCCCCAGACCGTTCTGGAGGCATCTGTTGTAACTACAACATGCCTGGACACTTGTTCTAAGGGCACTCCCACCCCGTAAAAAAGCAAGGTCCGACCAAGGGCTGAAATTCTGGTTACAACTCGGCGTGATATAAACATGGTGTGTGCCACGGCACCATACCCATCTCGGGACATGTAGCCAGTGTTAAAGCGCTCTCATATGCATCAATCCGAGCGGTATCACCGCGGCAAGCGGAAGAGCAAGCGGCCACTTTGTGGAACATCTGATTACCGTAAAAATAATTTGCATTTGTGCGACCTGTAGTATACTTTGGGCTTTAGGTGACCTTTTCATTAATATTATATTACATAACAGTTTTTTAAAAATATAATTTTAAGGTTTGAAATACACTACAAGGGTTTACCATCATGAACTAACAACGAAGAGCCTTTTTTACAGAATTAATCTTGGTTTATCTAAATGTAATGTTTATTTATAAATTATATTGTTGGTCATTGTTAGTTCACAATAGTGCATCAACCAATGCTATTTATTTGCAATACTGTAATTAATAAAAAAAAAACATACCCTATGTTGCCTGTAATTTCCTCCTGAATCTGCCGAGACTGAAGTATTCCTTCTCGTTTCTGTTGGGATAGAGAAACATTTTACTAAATAACTTGAAAAGAGCAAAGAAAAAGCTTATAATCTTTTATAATCTTATTTTATAATCTAATATCATAAAATTACCATGATAAAGTTTCTGGATTTGTTACCACTGAACACAAGCAGAACTATTAATTATGAACAGAAAAGAAAAGCACCTGAACCACCACAACTTGAATGGACACATGGTCTGGCAGTCTGATAGGGGCCCGGAAATACTGAGAAAGAGCCACCAGCAGGTGAAGAATGGCCACAATGTTCTTAGCATGAACAGCTGAGAAATATACAAAAGAATAAATAACAGGAGGGAAAAAATGAAATGCTTTCTGAATTAAATATATTCTACATTCATCACAATGAAAAAAAAGGTCAACAATGAAAAATGCAAAAATGTATGGTATATCCATCACTGATTTTCAGCTGGTGGATTGCAACCCAACAATTACACAATTATTGGCAGCAAGGAAAAATATTGTTCAATGTAATTAATAACACAAGCATAAATAATATATTGGGAATATATTAAGGCCTATAGACCTAGACCCAATACTCACTCTTTTTGGGGTTAAAGGTGATAACATTACAATACCAAAGAGTACATGATTGCATTTGTGATGCTTCTTGCACAAAGATTGAAGAATTGGAAACATAACCCCCCTGTTAAAGGAATAATTCACCCAAAAATTAACATTTGTGAAAATGTACTCACCCTCAGGCCATCTAAGATGTAGATGAGTTTATTTCTTCATCAGAACAGATTTGGAGAAATGTAGCAATACATCAGTTGCTCATCAATGGATCCTCTGCAGTGAATGGGTGCCGTCAGAATGAGAGTCCAAACAGCTGATAAAAACATCACAATAATCCACAAGTAATTCACACGACTCCAGTCCATCAATTAATGTCTTGTGAAATGAAAAGCTGCATGATTTGTTGAGAACTGTTTAGGACTGTTTTCGCTTGTAAATGGTGCTTGATCGGTGCATATTTCTCTCCTAAATTAAGACAAGGCTACATTTTCACTGGAGAAAGCTTTTTGCTTCACAGGACTTTTGTGATGTTGTATTGTTGTGATGCTTGAGCAAGGCACCGAACCCCCAACTGCTCCCCGGGCGCCGCAGCACGGTGTGTGTTCATAAATGCAGAGCACTAATTCCGAGTATGGGTCACCATACTTGGCCACATGTCACGTCACATCAGCTGTTGGACTCTCATTTTGTCGGCAGAGGATCCATTGTGAGCGAGTGATGTAATCATAAATTTCTCCAAATTTGTTAAGAAGACACAAACTCATGTACATCTTGGATGGCCTGAAGATAAGTACATTTTCAACTAATTTTCATTTTTGAGTGAATTATTCCTTTAATTAATTTTCAAAATTATAAGTAACTAATTTGGCATATTCCTATTTATTACTCCATATTTAGCATATTCTATGCAATTCATGAAAAATATTAAATATTGATTTTAAAATAATTTTTGTTTTTACTTTGTACAGTAAACTGTATTGGGTCTTCATTTCTAATGAAAAATCAGAGCCTTAGATCAACCCACTGACCACAATTGGCATTAATAAAAATGAACTTTTGCAAAAGGGAGAGTACAGTCTATAATACAAAATACAGTCTATACAATATATCATGCAAATGAAAAAAGAGGCCAAAACTACATACAGTCAACATTCCATTTAGTGTTCCTGGAGGAAATTTTGAGGGTGTCATTGATCTTTTCCAGAACTGTCTGCAGCTTCTGTTTCTGAGCGATCTCACACTGAGTCACCTCAGCCACATTCAGCTTCTCTCCCTCCAGGTTCTCTGGGAATAAATACACAATTTATAGGTTACACAATAGAGTACTGGGTCTTACTGGAACAACAATATAGGATCTTTTCCAGAACAGATTCCTCACCAAAGAGTTTTTGAAGAACCTGCCCATCATAGAGGTCTTCAGCTAGATCCTTAACAATGATTCGCTCTCCCACCAACACGTCATTGATCCAGTCAATGAGCACCTGTCATTAAAGACCGGAGAAGTGGAGATGCTTGGATCTTTGAAATGTTAATTGAAAATGCATGTTAAAAAACTATTGTACTGCAAAACTTACAAGTTACAAGTTAATCATCATTGCTTGCTTTTGTGGCTTATTGTTCTATTAGATAGTAAATGCCTCAAGATTTAAATATCCTTTCCCGTTATTCTAAGTATTATGTACACAATTATAACTATATATACTGCACTGAAAAACGTTGGTGGAGGATTTACTTTGAAACAATTTTAACTCAGAAATTGTTAGTAAATTTCCAAAAAAAAACTTTTTTTTGAAAGTGGCAAGTAACACATTAAATTAAATGTGACATTTTGAAGTAGAAAGACTAAAATAGTATTTTCTTTTAAAATGTGCTCCAATAATCTTAGTTTTATTTACAACTTCAAAAAATTTTTTTTACAATGTGTGCTTTCAGGTATTTTTACATATATTTTATATTTTGGTTGCCATTGTGATCTTTTTAGTCAGTATTACTTTGTATAATAACATCAGATCAGGATTTGAACGTTGTGTCCCTTTGCATGATAGATGACAACAGTAACGCTCGACTAACTTGTATTACTTCAGAGTTGCGAGTTGAAGCTCTCAATGAACGTCTTAGCTTAAAAATACCAAAACTTGTGAAAAAGATCAAAGAAGGAGTTGTATTACAATCATTTTGGAGCTGATTTACCTTCATTATCTCTTGGAGTTTGGGATCGTTCCTTGAGTTGGGATCAACCATGGTACGGACTTCATTCTCATCTTTTGAGAGATAAATGGGAAATACAGCAGCTTTTAGTATGACAGAGGCTGTGTTCATGTTTGAATCATCAGTTATGTTGAGAATTTTTACCAAGCATGGTGTCTTCAGGGTCCAGCTCAAACGGTGTGGGACTGAGGGGCAGGTTAATTGCATTCATTCCTTCCTCCTGGAGCTCAGACACTATGAAAAGAAATGCATCACTACATCAATAAAATATGAAACAAATGTAACTAAAAAGGGTTTCTCTTGAACCACTTTATGCTTCATGTCATGAAAAACTGAATTCTCCTTCATAAGATTTCAAAGCACTATAAAATATGCTGTAATTTTCAAAATTCTGAACTTAAGACCCTTTAATGAACCTAAGTTAAACCTCAGAGAGAGTCAAAAATCATCACTGATGCAAGAAACCTTGATTAATATTATCAATCAATCTGAGGAATATAATATTAAAAATATACACTTCATGCTATGACCTCATAAAATGTAGGGTCATCTAGCAGCAATTCTCAAACAACTGGCAGAGCTGAACACATAGCTCTTTTGAAGCTGTGCCTCTCATCGCTGGAGGTCAGTTATGCAGTATTGGCCTCACTGGTGAGGGGTCTACTCAAAGCGTCTCATTTAATGCTATGCATTCATCCCTGAACACGTTCAGCTTAAAAGAACTACAACTCAGACCTTCAATCAATAAATTGTGCAATATTCGTCAAAATAGAGAATGTTTAGAAACCGCTATAAAAACACATTTCAACATTGTTGAAGGTGAGGAGTGTATTTTTAGGCTTTAAAAAATTGTATTGTTAATTTCATATTGTATATTAAAATAAGTATTACTTAAAATACTAAATACTTATATGTATTTTAAGTATTACATAATATATGAATAATATGCAGAAACAACTATAATCCATTTGCAGGTTTACAATTCCCATGTCAAAAAGAAAGACACTTAAGCATACTTTTAAAAAGAGTGCTTATAAATAAATGAAATAATAAAATTACACTTAAGTGCAAACCGAATGTAATTTTTTCAGACATGTAATTGTTATTACCATTAAGATAAATTTATATTAAATGCATTGTTAAAATTTAAAGTGGTTTTATTTAAGTCACACTTAATTAGGACTTAAGTACATCTTTATATGTAATTTTATAACTATTTTTATTGTCTTTAAAAAATATGGTGTGTTGCCAAATATACTAACAAGCATTTATGGTAAACTAAAATATACTTTACTGTAATTTCTGTTGAAACGTGTGCATGTATGTAAATATATTGGAAATTGCACATTTCTAATAATTAAGTTTCAATTTAGTACATATAAAATATATTTATTTTAAACTGTAAATGTAATGTCGAATAACTACCTGCATTTAAAATGACTTTACATGAGTTTTAGTATGTTAGTCAACACATCAAAATAAGTGTACTTTTTAAAAGCATGACAAAACATTATTAAAACATAATGCTACTTTAAAGTAAAACTGTTAATTTGACATTAAAAGTGATTAGAAACTTTTTTTAAAGTGCACTGTATTCTGAGAAACATATGAACGTGTATTATCTTTAAATACACTTAAGTGACCTTTTATTTAATCAATATTATATTTTCTGCAAGTACTCTTTCAAAATATATTTTTGAGATTTAAAGAACACTATAAATGCACATTCAAAACGATTAAGTGCACTTCTTTTTCACAAGGGATTGCTATTCACTGTTGACATGATTATGTTGTCAGTGGCAAATGTATCATTAGTTGGCTTTCTACTGCTATAGTTGACATGTAACTCTCAAACCTGTTAACAGATTAGTGATAGTTAATGCTTATAGATTAAGCCTCTAAATCTTGCTATTCCATTGAATCTCACATTTAATTGACCCTGTCTGCATGCCATCCTGTGAATCAGTACATGTGGCGTCTCAACTAGCCCTCATGCAGGAGATCTTCTAAACACCCTCTCTGTCTCCATCTGCCCAGTGGCCCCATCAACACTGGCCAATCAGTAAAGCAATGCTGCAGCACATCCCTGTGAAAGGCAGTCCAGAAGAAGAATCGGTACAGATCCCTAGAGATATCGACATCCTGTTTTTAATCAACACTGTACCCTGCTGTAGCTGCTTCTAACGTGCTTTAAACACGGTCAGTTGAGGGCAAGGGAAGCGACTTCCCAGCTTCCCCATGAACTAGGTTTAGAACATATGCATAACAGCTGATTTACAGCTTGTAAAATAACTTCTCTTAACTTCTCTTTGGATGCCAGTTTGTACTTCCTGTTGTGGCTTGAGGTTCTTTCTCTTCTCTTTTAGTCAGTGAATGTCTAAACCCGCAAATAAACACACCAGCAAACTAAATATGTCTCTTGCCACATGGGACCAAAAAAACCAAAGCCAAAAATGTCATCACTTCTATACTGTATCTGTATCTGAGTGCCAAAAGATCATCAGTGACATCCTAAAGAATAAGAATGGATGTCACCCCACTCAGAAACGGATTCTAAGAATGAAATATATGTAACACAATTCAAAAAGTCAAGTTTAGATTGCAGTTTTTAAAACAGTAAGTAAATAAATAAACATTTTTACACAGTAAAACTACTTAAAATTTAAATTGCTGTCTTAACCCTTGTGTTCCAGTCATGTTGACCCGGAGAGGATATTCTTTTTCCCGAAAATGCTATATAATCACATTAGACTAAAATTTACTGACTTTGCTTACACAGGATATAACAGCTCCCCAACAAAACAAGACTGACTAATTAACTAAATAAATGAATAAGTTAATTTTTGTTGTTGTTGTTATTATTATTCCATCTTGTTACACTTGTGGTGGTCAAAATTGACCAGCCTACAAAAATTGCTTATGCATCTCTCATTGTGCACCTCAGATTTTGAGTGAACATTGCCAAAATTATCCACAAATAATTATTTTTTGCACAGAAAGCCTGAGGTGCATAAGCTCAAATCAATCAGTCATTTCCAACCTGTGATAATTGAAAAAAAAAATGAAAAAAAAGACTGAATTTGGTGATACTATAACATAATAAGAGATTTACAAGCAATTTCTTAACATTTTAAATTAGGTAAAGGATTTTCAGCACAGCACTGGGTTAGATCTTTAAATATTTGAATTTCATTTCTGATAAAGAAAACGGAATGCATGGAAACTCTGAAATATCATTATATCCAGTAGAAATTCTGAATTAAGTTAAATGGTGTTGTTATAACAAAATGATGAAATGTTTCTTGCAGTGCTGTAGGGATATATTCATAATTTTAATGTGAAAATAGGGAATAATATTTTCTATATGTATATAATATTTACCCAACCTCTCACAATGAGTATTTAACAGCCACTTCTCTTCCTTATATGGTCACAGCAGAGACGTGCAGCCTTTTGTAAACACTCACATAGTTGAGTCTACTGTATCTCAACAACAGTGCAACTGTACTTACACTTTACATTATCAGAATAAACAAAAACATGACAAAAGAAAGAAAGAAAGAAAGAAAGAAAGAAAGATTTTTCTGAGATTAAAAGCACGTTTCAAAATTAAACTAACTTACAGTAATTACAATAGTGTGTTTAATTTGTATTTATATGTATATAATGAGATTGCATTTCTGTATCACGCACTACACTGTAAAAATAAAATGAAACATACATATACAGTACAAGTGTTCAGAACTATAGCTAGTAATCTGACAGATACATGCCTAAACATCAATGAGTTTAAATTTGTTTGACATGCATACGATCAAATATAAGATAGTATCAGAGAGACATCGGCTATCCATGGATTTAAGCTGAATTCACACCTTCTTTTGCCTTTTTCCTTCTTGATAAAGTTCCTCCAAGTTTTCCAAGAAAAGAGTCATCTTTTTTCCTGGAGGAAGGCGACTTCGGAGTGGGAGATTTTGGTGAGGACGGTGATTTCTGCGGTGAAGAAGCCATTTGATTAGCAACACAATAAATGCGCCTCTTATCGAGACGTGCAGAGCACAAAGCTAATTTAAAGTTCTGGAGACTTCTTGAAATCCACCAAACGGAAGTGGAATTCCAAACATTCGTGTAATGACTCTCTCTTGCTTCCCTTCTGCACGAGCGTTTTCCAGTCCCGCCCTGACTGACTGACTGACTGACTGAACGCTAATTTCACTTTATTGTCATTTCTTATCAGAGTATGTTTTTCTTCATAATTTCATATCTCCATTATATGTCGTAATATACTGTAAATGTTAAACTCATAGCAGTTTTCTTTTATCACAAATATGTCACAATTATGAAATGGGAACATGGGGATGAATTAGTTTGAGTGGAAGTTGCTGTACACTAACTTCTATCATGACAAACTGGCGATTTATTAAGAGATATTACAGCCAGGTGTTTATCAGTAAATTTCTCTAATCAATGAAATGCCTTTAACTACAAGAACTGACATCGTTCTGCAGGAAGTGACATCGTTTTGGTGGGAAAACGTAAATATTAGCAGTGAATTCCATGAATTATGTGATGTTGGTGTTTTTAGTTGGTTTGTTCCACTTTAAAACACTCCATCCCGTTAGATTAAGTTGCAAAAAAATTAATATGATGATATCAGCAATTCAAAAGCTGGTTAAAAATGTAAAAATTTCAAGTTGACTGCCTCATGTAAACTGTCAATTCTTCACTGAGCAAGGGCACTTTATTTCCATCATGTTAGTCATCCTGCTAATTTTCTCATCAAGTGTATAAGCAAGTTTTAATGAGTTTAACTCTAGGGGAGATGGAAAATGAGCCTATTTTCAAAAATAGTGGAGTGTTCCTTTAAAGCCTTACCAGATCATATTTCTCAATTCTTTTGTATATACTTATAGATGTTTTATGGATATTTTAAAACATCTAAATTGCAGCAATTTCTTTAATTAATTTTTCAACCAGGCTTATTTTATTCTGTTTATTTCTGTGACATTTGTCGATGGCAGGACAAAAATAGCAATGACTCGAGTCTATGCATTGAAAAAACAAGATACATGAACAAGATGAACATTAGTGACTATACAGGAACTATAGCCCACATTTTAGGTTTTTCATTGCCGCAACAACAGTTTGCAAATTGTCTTTATTTCTTTAACTTAATCACTACTATTGCAAATATTACTTTTATATATGAGTACCAGGGTAACCAAGGAAGCAAGCTGAAATGAAACACTAAAACACTCTGAAATAAAACATTAAAATTCAGGACCTTCAGCAAGCTTGTTAAGAAAGTTTGCAAAAGCTGTTTTCAGCAACTGTCCGTGACCTGTGCTGCTTCCTCAAGACACTTAATAATGCATTTACACTGATTAACCACCAGGCATGTTATTTATTTATTTACCGTCTTACTGGAATGCTATACTTGTTGCTGTTACTTTGTATTAGACCATTTGTTTCTTTAAAACTGTGGTTCTATAACACCTTAAAGGAAGTAATCATTACGCTGGCTTTTCAATCATCATTTAGCCATGACTTGCTACTTCTCTAAAACTCATTTAGTGCAATGAGAAGCTTGGCCTGACAAAGACCCCATTCAGTTTGTAAGCCTTTTCTCCTTCCCTCTGATACAATTATCTCCACAAAGCCATGTAAACAAGCAGCACAATGGACACAGCCTGGCCCTGAGCTGTCATTAGAGCAGATTTTCCATGCAGTTATGCTCTAAAATCTTATGCACAGTCCTTTTGGAGACTGGGATGAGCCTATGTGGGGTATAACTCTCTCTCTGCAAAACAAGGTCACCGCTCTGCCTTGACACATAGTCTGGCCTTTCTTCCTAGCTTTTATCACAAAGCCATGCACACAGACATGAATATTACTGAATACATAATAAAGTCTGATATGAATGCACAATAAAATAACTGTAGAGTTGTATTGTTTTCCAAGGATTTCTGGGATGAGCAAATGTAGTGTTCTTATTCAGTCCTTCAGTGCTCAAATAATCTGTGGTGCTGTTTTAAGGACTAGCAGAAAAAAAGTTTTCATATTAAATGATTATTGTGTGTGTGTGTGTGTGTGTGTGTGTGTGTTTTTGTGGCCCATCTTTAAGTCATTATGTCCGCTATAAACAAAAATGACATCTATAAACGGAAGAATTATATATAATCCAGGTGCCTATAGTATATAATAATCCAGGTGCCTATATTCAGTCAGTCATTTGTTTTCTGTATCATTCAATACAATTTCCACTTCATTTCATTTTTGAATGCTAATAGTTGTGTTGTGCATGTCTGAATAAATTTTTTCCAGCTAAGACTATTCAAATGAAAACATGAAATCTCCCAGGTTCCATCTTCAGCTGTAATGTACTATACAAGAGAGGACAAAAGCAAGGAAACAACCAGGACTATTGACCTCTGGAACAGCTTTTAGTTTACGGTACATAACAAGCCCCCCTCTGTATTTTCAGTTCACCGAATGACAGTGTGGGGTCAGATTGTGAGTTCTTGACACCTTCACTGTGAGGTCAATACTTCACTCTTCCACATGCCATTTTCTGCTACAGGGAAGAGCCTGAAAGAAGCCTTATGAACACTTTCACATCATACATAACCCGTATGTCATGAGTCACACTTGTCTCTAAGGATGTGAAGTTGTTGCACAAACAAAGTCGTGGAGGATTTTTAAAGGCACAATATGTAATTTTCGCCGCTAGAGGGCGCGTATTCAAAATAAACAAATAGACAAAGGCGTACTTTGATGACGCTGTGACTGAGTGTGGAATCATGGGAGTTGTCGTCTTCATCCCCACAGCCGATGCAATCCGACAGGACTCTTATTGGTACGTATTTCGCGTCTCGCGAAAATGTGCCCCCGGGTACGTTTTTGCCATGAGACCAGGTTGATTAAAACGCACAACATATTAAAGCGTCTTTGGTGTTTCCATGTTTTAAAACAAAACCGGAAATCGAGGGGTTATGACGTCATTGGCAGGCGACACAATGACACTATAGACAGGGTCCGTGTCACTAGTTAAAAATGCTTATTTCTCTGGATTTAAACAATCTTCAAAACATTTGGGATAATATAAGTACACAAATCAGCAAAATATATAACACTGTTCTAGTGGTTTTTGGATATTTTAATAAAAATATCTTACATATTGTGCCTTTAAGGAAACAATTGCAGGTTACCATTTTTTTTTTACAGTGTATAAGAGTTGATCAATGTTTACACAGTATAAAAGCCTAAATTATATCTGTTCATCATATAAAGCAATTGTGCCTTGGATTAAACTAGACTTGGATTAGACCACTCCTTTCATATGGTTTTCTTTTCTTTCTTTTTTTTTACAATCTCTTTATGAACTTTTTGAAGTGTCAGTGTTTCGGGGAATAGACTTTGAATGGAGAGACAGGAATCTCTCAGATTTCATTCATTTCTTTGTTGAAGATGAACAGACGTCTTATAGGTTAGAAATGACATGACAGTTTAATAAATGCAGTACTGTCAGCTTAACATTAATTGACAAAGAATAATAGAATAATAGTATATTTCTAATTATTATATTATTATTTGTAGTCTATAACAATAGTGGGCCACATTTATATTTATTTAAATTGTATATTTATAATATTAACCATATTTATTTTAAATTAATTAATGTAACTTTATTGTTTATTAATTATGTTTATAGTTTTTTAAGCTACTTTAACCTAGATAAAAATAGGTTAGTTCATGATACCTAATGCCTTTATGATACCATGATATCTAATAAATGAATATTAATGGAATTAATCTTATTTGAATGAATGAATGAATGAATGAATGAATGAATGAAGTATCAGACCAACAGTTTTCGCCTTACGTACAATAAAATGAGCAGGAAAAATTTTGTAGACTTCCCATCCCATATCATATCACAATATCATAGAGACTTAGGGGTTTGCTCTTTAGACTTGCATGGGCCACCCAAAACCCCCAGAAACCACCAAGCAACACCCTAGCAACCACTCTGAACTTGCATGGACAAGTTCAAGATAGTTAAAAACAACATTTGATCAAATATTTTAGCATAATGCATTTATGAATAACCTTACCAGTTTTTCCACAGACACCTTTCACAAAAATGATTGTTGATCGTTCAGTAAGGCGAAACGCACCTTAAAGAACGAGGTTAGCCCATTGAAAAGTCCAGTCTTTGAGAGTGCTGTAGGATATGATTGGTTTGTTTGAAGCACTGTATTTTTGCTCCTCCAGAGGCCTTTGTAGATGTGTTTGATCTGTTATTTTCTCCCTCCACTTCAGTGGGACCCTGCAGAGGCGCGCAGTCAGAGCAGCACACCAGAGAGAGGAGGGTTAGAGCACTCGCCTCCCCCCTCTCATCGCCTTCACTCACATCCTGGCTATGGCTTCCGGCCGCCGCAGAGCCTCTCACAGCACCCCTGCTGAGGTCACTCTGGCCCAGGTCAGGAACAGAAAAATACCCTCCTCCTTTATCTCCCGACACTACAACCTCTCTCTCTTTCTCTTTGGGTCTGTGCCATCTACGCCTGCTGTGGAAAAACACTACATCTCATTTGTGTTCATGTTGAAAATGCAAAGATGTAAATGAGATTTGAAAGCAATTGCATATGTATACATATAGTTTAAATTGTACTAAAATCGCTAAAACGGAAATAAAAACTATATAGATATAGACTTATAATAATATGAGTGGTATAGATTTTATTTTATATCAATCAATCAATAAAAACATTTTGTGTTTCACTGAAAAAGAAAAATCATCCACATTTGGAATTACATAAGGATGAGAAAATAATTTTCATTTTTGGGTGAACTTTTGCTTTAAATGGGTGCTTTGGATGTGAAAGACGTGCAGATGGTTTGCTATAGAGGAAACACACAAAAATATACCCACACACACACACCATTCACAAACATAAACATAGTCATAAAAGTTCACAGAGCTTGTATAATTCTATATTGTTGACCTTTTTTCTCTCCAGTCTCCAGGCATGTAATGCTGCACGACTCACACCACTTATCCAAAGCAGAAGAGATCATCTGCTCAACGTTATTGGGCTAAATGCTTTTCAACTGGATATCTATTTTCAGGAATTGCGTAAGCAAAGAGTGTTCTGTTTTAAATGGTTT